GCTGGCTGGGGAATTCTGGGAGTTGAAGTCCTCCAGGCTTAAAGTTGCCAAGGTTGGACACCCCTGGACTAGACAGTCATTTACCTGAAATGGTGCAGAGTCTCCTGCTTTTGAGCAGGGGGCTGGACTAGAAGACCTCCAAGGTCCCTTCTGATTCCTGATTGTGCTGTGATTTCACACCACCAGGAAGCTGCATCCCATTTCCTGTGGCATCAGCACCTGGCATCAGAGTCTGAGGACGGGCACCGGGCCAACCATCTCAAGGAAACCAGCCTTCGCTCAGCCTTCCACTTTTTCTTCAGAACTGATAACGGCAACCAGAGACAATTTGTTTTTACGAGCCACAATTACTGTTGTAAACAGCACCGGCTGGGTTCATTGCCCACGTGAGGGGAGGGGGAGAGGCCGAGTCCAGCCTCAACTGAGGCCCGGTGCCAGCCAGGGCTCCTTGGGCAGAAACCACAGCCAACTGGCTCGAGAGCTGGCGGATCCGGCCAGCAAGTCAAGTTTCTGGGGATTTCCTCACATCACGGAAATGAGGAATTATTTAATGTAGATTATTAGAAGTCAAAACCAGGACTATGAATTGTCCCTGGAGACCTGTAGGCCGCCCATGTAGGATTGGGGTGTTTTAAGTTCAGGGAACTGCTTTCTGCAATAATTGTGGTAGTCTTCAAGGGCAGCTCCATGTAGAACATTTTACAGTAATCTAGTCTAGGGTAAAGGCGAGGGCATGACTAAGCCTGCCATCGTCCCTCTGCCCCAGTTAAGGCCACAATTGGCACTCGAGCCCTTCGGTTTCCCCGTGAGCGAGAGGATCGCATCCAGGAGGGCATTGAACCCATGACGGCTGCTTTCTCAAGAGGCAACGCTCGCAGTGGGTCAGCAGTCACTCCACTTTGCCCTGGTTCAGCTTCAACCTCCAATCCAGGTCTGGCGGCCTCCAGGTTGTCAGGAAAGGACCTTGTAGCCCAGGGCTTCAGGGGGCTCCAACCTCGGCCACTTTATGACTTGTGGGCTTCAACCCCCAGACTGGTTTCACAGTCTTTTCTTTTTCAAAAAAAAAATACATTTATACATTGTTCTTTAACATGCACAAGTATACAATAAACAGTGTATTGTCTGGGTCATTTTACATATAAATCATCACTATATTTTTTACTTATACATAATAATATCCTTCCCACTTCTAACTTCTACTTTTATAATCTAACCATTGATAAAACAAATCCCAGGTTAAAAAATATTCTGTGACTTCTTTATCCTTTATCTTTAATGTGGACCTATCCATTTCCTCATACTCTAATATTTTTTTCATTATATTTTCACCTGGAGTTCCCTCGTTTTTCCAACGTTGTGCAAATACAATTCTCGCTGCTGTCAAAACATGTAAAATTAAATATACATTCCCTTTATTGTATTTTTTTTCCGGCAAAATACCTAACCAAAATATTTCTGGCTTTAAATCAATACCTTTTCTTGAAAACCTCCAGCATTTGAGCTGCACAATGTCTGCAGGGAAGCCGTCCCGTCCCCTCAGAGATGCATCCCCAGGCAGGACCCCAGGCGGAGCCATTTCGGGCGGGGAATGAGCCATTGTGCCAGTCCACCCCTTGGCAGGCCATGGCAGGCGGCCAGGACTTTGGGGCCAAGAGAGACTTGGACTTCCAGCTGTCTCCAGAAACCCCGGTGCTTCCTTGGTGGAGCCTGGGAGCAGAAGGGGGCGGCTGAGCACACACCTTGCACGCACCTTGCACGCACTCTAGCGTCTGCTTGGGGCAGTGAGTGCCAGCAGCAGCTGTGGCCAACCAGACGCCTTGTGGGAATGCACCCAACCTGCGCTCCCTCTCTCTTGTGGGGGGCGCAGAGGGAGATACCCCTCCCTCCCAACTCTCTTACCTAAGGGATAAGGAGGCCACAAAGAGTGGGGGGGTATATTTTCCATCTACTGTATTCTCCAAAGCACCTGAAGGCAGGACTAGAAACGCTGCATGGAAGCCAATCAAGGACAGATTCAACCTGGAAGGGAGGAAACCCTTCCTGGCAGTGGATGAATGGAAGAACAGCCGGCCTCCAGACGCTGCGGGGGCTCCATCACGGGAGGTTTTCAAGAAGAGACTGGACAGCCACCTGTCTGGAATGGTAACAGATCACAGATCATCAGAGTTGGAAGGGACCTTGGAGGTCATCTAGCCCAACCCCCTGCCCAAGCAGGAGACCCATTTCTGACAGGTGGGAGTCCAATCTCTTCTTGACAGTCTCAAGTGGTGGTACAGGGTAAGGGTGTCTGGCCTTGGGCACTTGTCTGAGATGGCCTAGGGTCTCCTGCTTGAGCAGGGGGCTGGACTAGAAGACCTCCGAGGTCCCTTCCAACGCTGTCAAGCATGTCTTCTGCTGCCAAACAGCCTTTTAGTCCTGGAGCCTGGGATCCAGGAGGCGGGAAACCACAGGATCCGGATCCAACGGGCAGACACTCGCTTGGCAGCTTTGCTCGTCTACACGAACACTTTCCCTTTCAGCTCCTTAACCCGAAACGTTGGAGGATCTCGGGCTTCCCCTTGTTCGGGGTCCCCCCAACTCTGAGCAGGGCAGGCGCCTCCATTCCAAGCACGGCAGCTGGGAGCCTTGGCGGACTTCAACTCCCAGAAGCCCCCAGCCAGCAGGTTGGCCCAGGTCGGAGACCCCCGGCGGTCCCCCCAGCGCCGCTCTGGCAGCCCCGGGGCGGAGTCCGCAGCTGAGACCGCCGCCCCCCCCCCCCCCGTCCAGGCTCCGCCCAGAGCCCCGCCTGAGCCCGGCCCAGCGGCCTCTTCCCTCCGCCCATTGGGCGCCATGGCCGAGGAGGTGGCGGCGGAGACCCCCGCGGGCTGCCCGTCGCAGGGCGCCCCCCGCCCGCCCTCCTGCCGCCGCCGCCGCCTGCGCGCCGTGGAGCCGGTGCTGCTGCTGGCCACGCTGGCCCTGGCCCTGCAGGCGCCGCTCAGCACGCAGCTGCTCTGGGACCGGCTGGCCGGAGGGAACGGCTCCCGCCCCGCAGCAGAGCCCGCCGGCGGCGGCGGCGGCTGCCCCAACCACACCGGCACCGGCGCCGGCTCCCAGGTGCGTCCGCCGCGCTGGCGAGGCTGCTCCTGGCCCCGGAGCTCGCCTGCCGCCGCCCCGCTGCAGCGCCGCGATGGGGCCGAGAAGGGCCCGGCCAGGGAGCGGAGGGGGGGGGGGAATAAGGGCTCCCTTCGCCTCCTCCGCCCACCGGGCGCCTCGCCTGCTCATTTCTCTGAAAGGACGTGCGGGGGTGGGGGTGTCTCTCCTGCCTGAGCCGGGGTTGGACTAGAAGACCTCCGAGGCCCCTTCCGATTCGGTTCTTCTGCTGCTTCAGACAAAAGGGGAGGCTGTGGGGTGGCCAAGTGGGGCAGGGGGTCCCCCTCCCTCCCTCCTGGGGCTTTTCCTGCTGTTTGAAAGCCTTTGGGGGTCATTAGCCCCCCCCCCCCCCAAGAATGGAGCCTCCATGCTCAGAGAGAAGCTACCTCTGGTGGTGTTCATACAGCTCAGGGATCCTTGTGTTAGGTCAGAGGTCTCCGAACTTGGCCCCTTTAAGGTTTGTGGACTTCTCCAGTCTGGAGAATTCTGGGAGTTGAAGTCCACCAGTCTTAAAAGGGGCCAAGTTTGGGGACCCCCCCTTTTTTTAGGTGGCTTTGAGGAGCCTTTTGGGTCTTGCTGGCCAAACGCTGCTGCAAAGGCCCCCAGAAAAAGTCGCCCCACAATAAAAAAAGGTTTGTTTTGCAGCCTTCCGGCTCCCAGGCCCCTGAGCCCCCTCCGAGGGGAGCCTTGGATGGCACAGTGGGAGGTGGACGTCTTCCAACTCTCTTGTGACAAACAATGCTGGTTTATCTCGGGGCCCTGATGGCCGCGTTGCTTCAGCCTCCCAGATTCTGCCTTGGCCGAGGGTCAGAATGCGGTTGCTGACGGTGGGTCTCTTTTCCAGGCTGTGGGAACCTGCAGATTTGACCACCAAAAGGGGCTCCAGAATTCTCTTCCTTTTGGCTCAGAACTTCTTGTCCTTTGATATTATTATCTTGCCCACATACAGTTTCTTCTCTTTGCTTAACCCTTCATTGTCCTGTCATCAGCTTTTCCTGTTCCACTTTTTGTACTTCATATTTCAGCAGGAATAGCTAACACCCAAGAAAACAGGCTGGAGACCCAGAGGGATCTTGACAGACTCGAACCCTGGGCCGTATCTAACAAAATGAAATTCACTGTTGAGAAAAGGAAAGTCCTCCACTTAGGCCAGAAAAACCAAAAGGACACGTACAGACTGGGTGCAACCAGGCTCAATAGCAGGAACTGGGAGGGGGATCTCGGAGTCTTAGTGGACAACCAGCTAAATAGGAGCCAGCCGTGTGCGGCAGCAGCAGCCAAAAAAGCCAATGCAATCCTAAATTGCATCAACAGAGGGATACAATCGAGATCAAGGGAGGGACTAATACCACTCTACTAAGCCTTAGTAAGGCCACACCTAGAGTCCTGCATCTGCTTCTGCCCGTGGACTCTGGTCCCTGAGGGCGGCTGTGTTGCTGGGGGCAGGTGGGGCAGGCCGAGACGCCGTCCTCCTTCGCCTTCCTCCGCCTCCTTCAGGGGCCCTGAGGCTGCTCCCTCCTTTCCAAGGACACGGAATCCTCGACTTAACGACCACCACACACCCCACACCCCAATTTCTATTGTTCAGTGGTTTTTGCCCCATTTTACGACCTTCCTTGCCACTGTGCGGAAGTGACTCACTGTGGTCGTTAAGTGAGTCACATGGTTGTTAAGCGAATCTGGCTCCCCCCCCCTTGACTCGGCTTGTCAGATGGATGCAAAAGGGTGACACACCCCCAGGTCACAAATACGAGTCACTTGCCAAGTGCCTGCATTCTGATCCTGCGACTGTGGATTTAAAATCACTAACCAAAGTGTTGTAAGTCGAGGACTTCCCATAGCTGCCAATATCCTGACCAAGATCACAAGGAAAGCTCATCTTCAAAGGGACACTTTGTAAGCCTCGTAAGGTTAGAAGGATGAGGCCGGGGTCTCCCACCTGGGCCCCTTTAAGCCTAGTGGACTTCAACTCCCAGAATCCCAGGGTCAACCGGCTCTGCTGGCTGGGGGATATTTTATTGTCTAACCATTGATAGAATAGATCCCAAATTTTATAAAATTGTTTATTATCTTGTTCTCTGATTTCAAATGTCAATCTACTCATTTCAGCACATTCCAATATTTTCTTAATGATTTCCTCCTGTGATGGTATTTTCTCATTGTTCCAGTTTTTAGCAAATACAATCCTAGCCGCTGTTAATACATTTACAATCAGATATTTCAAGTCTTTACTATATATTTCAGGAAAAATTCCCAATAAAAATATCTCTGGTTTCAAGTCTATATGCTTTTTCGTCATTTTCTCCAACCACATGTGGATTTTAGTCCAGTATTTTTTAGCATCCGCACAAGTCCACCGCATATGGTAATATGAGCCAGGTGTCTGATGACATTTCCCATACATTCTGGATTGACGTATCTTCTTTTTTGTTTTCTCTAAAGAAAAAAGCCAGTTCTTTCTCCATCCACTGTGTGAAATCTTTTTCCTTTAAAATAGTATTATTTAACGTCCATCTAGATCATCTTCTTTGTCCTTTCCATTTAATTGTCATTGGATTGTGATCTGCCCAAGTACTTGTTTCAATATTTATTTCTTGAATATTAGTTAACAATTCTGTTGACATCCATATCATATCTATTCTGGACCATGATAAGCGTCTATTTGAGTAGAAGGTGTATTGTTTAGTTTTAGCATTTCTTTCTCTCCATGTATCTTTTAAGTTTATTTCATCTACCATTAAAAAAAAAGATTTAGGGAGAGTCTTTCTATTTTGCTTTATTGTTTTCTGTGCTGTATAGTCCAGTTTGTTGTCTACAATTCCATTAAAATCTCCCATCATAACTATATTAGCATAGTCCAGTTCAATTATTTTCATAATGTAATTTTTTATAAAATTCTTCTTGATTGTCATTCGGGGCATAGATTGCAATCAGGAGTGTTTTCTCTCCTTGCTTGAGCAGGGGGTTAGGCTAGAAGACCTCCGAGGCCCCTTCTGACTCTGGTCCTGTCTTCCCAGGAGCTGGAGACTCTGGTGGCCCACTGGAACCTCTACCTCAACCTGGCCGGCTTCTTTGTGGGGCTCTTCTCGGTGACCCTCTTTGGCCCTTGGAGTGACAGCGTGGGGCGCCGGCCGGTGCTGATCCTGCCCACGCTGGGCATGGCCCTGCAGGCCGCCATCTACCTGGTGGTCATGTACGCTGAGCTGCCCGTGGGGTACCTCTTGGTGGGCCGGGTGCTGAGCGGCCTCTCCGGCGACTACAACCTGGTCCTCGCCGGCTGCTTTGCCTACGTGGCCGACGTCAGTGACCGGAAGGGACGCACGTTCCGCGTGGCTGTCCTGGAGGCCTGCCTGGGCCTGGCGGGCATGGTGGCCAGCGTGCTGGGCGGGCAGTGGCGCAGGGCGCAGGGCTACGTGGCACCCTTCTGGCTGGTCTTCGCGGCCAGCCTCGCCGCAGCCCTCTATGCGGCCTTTGCCTTGCAGGAGTCGGTGGCGCCCAGGCAGCCGCGGCGGCGGCTTCTCACGCTGCACCATTACGGGGCTGTGTACCGGCTGTACGCTGGCCCTGCCCGGGGCCTGGCGTGGCGCCAGCGGCTCCTCTACTCGCTGGCCTTCTTCGTGGTGGTGACGGTGCACTTTGGGGCCCGGGAGATCCTGGTGCTGTACGAACTGGGCCCCCCGCTCTGCTGGCGGTCAGAGCTGATTGGCTACGGCTCGGCCGCCCACTACCTGACCTACCTGAGCAGCCTGGTGGGGCTGCGGCTGCTGCAGAGGTGCCTGCCGGACGCCTGGGTGGCCGAGCTGGGCCTTCTCTCCAACGCCCTGGGCCTGGGGACCATAGCGCTGGCCGGGACCACGGCCCTGATGTTCACAGGTGAGCCTGGCGGAGGGGAGGGTGGGCCAGGTGGGGATCTGTCCCCCAAAGGACCCTCGGGAGCCCTCCGTGAGGTTGTCGGCCTTTCTTTCTTTCTTTCTTTCTTTCTTTCTTTCTTTCTTTCTTTCTTTCTTTCTTTCTCTCTCTCTCTCTCTCTCTCTCTCTCTCTCTCTCTCTCTCCTTTCCTCCTTCTTTCCTCTTTCTCTTCCTTCCTTTCCTTTTGTTTCTTTTTTCTTTCTGTCCTTCCCCCCTCCTTTTCTCTTTCTCCTTTCCCTTTCCTTCCATCCTTCCATCTGATCATATCTTAGATCTGATCTGATCTGATCTGATCTGATCTTTATATCTTATCTACCAAATTATGTGCCATATCCGATGACTCTGGGCTGCTTACTGCATAAAAACATTAGAACATTTTTAAAGACCCATTAAAATCAATAACCATAGAAACACAGTGGATACAATCCTTAACTAGTAAAATAATGCAAAAATAATAATTAAAACAGTGATTGAATAATTATTCTTTAATTATTGTTAAATCATAACTAAATAACCGCAGGGGGAAAGGAAGGGGCCGGACACACGTGGGGGAGGGGCATTTAGCTGGGCCAGGGGCCACATAAGGCCCAGAGCTGGGTGCCACGGAGCCTGTTGGCAGGGCAGCCTCACCCCCCACGCCCACCCAGGCTGCCAAGGGGCCCCGGCATGCCCTCCGTGCCAAGCCCCGGCCCGGGGGGCGGGGGGCCTTGAAGGCGGGGGGGTGGGGCTCCCCAGGCCTTGTGCTCCCCCCCCCGGCCTCCCTCACCCCCCCCCTCTTCCCCCCCAGTTTTTGGTCCCCCTTTCCTCTCCATGACGGTGACGCCTGTGATCCGCTCCAAGCTGTCCAGGCTGGTTGGCGAGACAGAGCAAGGTAGGGTGGGAGGGGGAGGGCGGCTGTGCCCCTCCCCACACCCCTCCGTGTCCCCCTATGCTCCCTCCCAGGCTTCACTACTCCAAGGGTTGGGGGGGCCCTTCCCTATTTCCTCCATTCCTTGTTCCTGGTAGGAAGGTTAGAATAAACCAGGGGCCTCCAAACGTGGGCCCTTTAAGACTGGGGGACTTCAACTCCCAGAATTCCTCAGCCAGCTTTGTTGGCTGAGGAATTCTGGGAGTTGAAGTCCTCCAGCAAGGTGGGAGACTCCTGGAATAAACGGGGCATTGGGGGATTCAGAATTCCCTGGGGGGGGGGCTCCCAGGGGGCCAGGTGGTCTGGACGCCCCCCCCCCCCCCCCGAGCCTGAGCCGCCTCTTCTTCCAGGCTGCTTGACCCCCCACCCCCTTTTCTCCTCCCTCCAGGGGCCCTCTTTGCCGCCGTGGCCTGCGTGGAGGGGCTGTGCTCCCTGGTGGCCACGGGGGTCTTCAGCTCCCTCTTCCCAGCCTGCCTCTCCTTCATGAAGGGCTTCCCCTTCCTCTTCGGAGCCCTCCTCCTCCTCGTGCCAGCTGCCATCATCGGGTGAGTCGGCCCGGGGGAAGCCGAGGTGGCCAATCCAGAGGTGGTGGGTTGGGGTTCCCAGCCTGGGAGGTGTTGGCTGGGGGTGATGGAGTCTGGAGTCCGTGCCCCCCGAGGGAACGGCTGATCTGGAGCCATCCTGGCCTCCGTTTTTCCTTCCGTGAAGTTGTCTTCATTTTAAAGCTGGCCCCTGTTTTCTGGTCCAGTGGTGGGGAGTTCCTGCGGTGAACTTGGCTGCAATTTCAGGCCAAAAACTGCAGCTGATGGCCAGTCAGTGACCCAAACCACCTTGTTCCTCTTTTGAGAAAGGGAGAAAAAACCCCTCCCCACCTTTGCTCTTTGCTTCCTCCAAGCATCTCAGAGCCACCCCCCCCCCCAGCTTCTCCTCCCAGGAGCCCCCTGAATGCCACCTGGGTCGCCCTCTCCCCATCTTCTTCCTGCTCCCCAAAAGGGGCAGTAGAGCACAGGTAGTCCTCAACTTACGACCGGTTTGCTTAGTTCAGATTTACGATGGATCTACTCTGGGGACTTACAACCTGTTGGGCCCCTTCTGTACTCACGGGATTGAGCGGAGCTGTCCTGACTCAGGGCTTCCTGAGACCGTAACTAATCACACGCTTAGTTAAAACAACTCTTGTTTTATTCAACACTGGGAATTATGTGCATTCCCAGCCCGTAATGAGTCCCAAACAGTCCCTTGAGATAAGCATCCACCTTTCTCTCCTTTGAATTGCTGCCAACAACTAAAGTGCCAAATGAATTATAAAAAACCAGCCGAAGTACAAAGTCCACACAGAGCCTCAAGGTTGAATCCGAACAGAGCAAACAACCTTGCTTCCTGCAAAGGTTTTCCTACCTTTGCCTGTCCTTTATGCCTTATGGGAGGGGCAATCACAGCCTTACTCCCGAGTCACCCCTTCTGCTTCAGCTGCTCTTGCCTTCTGGCTGCTCTGCGCACAGGCGCACTGGGAACAGGCTCCCCTGGTTCCTCTTCCTCGCTGCTGCCAGACTCTGGAGGCTCCAGAGGCAGCCCCCCACTCCCAGGTGGCCCCATCCCTGCATCGGACGCAGGACCCTCGTCTGAGCCCTCCCCAGAGTCCCGGACTGGTCCCCGTTCTTCCCCACTGTCCGATTCTGTGGCTGTCTCTGCAGAGGCTGCTGGTGAACCACAACAGGAGCCGTTGTGTCTGCAGCCGTTTGCAGCCACCTGCATTCCTGCGGCTGCGTTACGCAGGTTGTCCTCAATGACCACAGCAGAGCCCAACATTTCTGTTGTTAAGCAAGACAGTTGTGAAGCGAGTTCTGGCCCATTTTACCCCCTTTCTGGCCAGGGAATCCCTGCCGTTGTTTAGCGAGTCACACGGTGGTTGAATGAATCTGGCTTTTGACTGTCAGGAGGTCGCCAAAGGGGATCGTGTGGCATTGCCACCGACGTAACTATGAGCCACTTGCCAATTTTGATCATGGGACCGTGGGGGATGCTTAACGGTCACAAGTGTGAGAAATGATCCCAAGTCACCTTTCTCTGTGTTGCTGTAAGTCGAGGACTATCTGTGCAAGAGTTCCGCTGAGAACTGGTACGCCTGGTGGCCGTAGTGAACCACTGGTTCACTTAACAACAGTGGGATTCGCTTAACGACCGTTGCAGAAGCAGCCAACCAATTTTTCAACCTTACAACTCATGATAGCAATGGGGAGGCTTGGTCGTATGTCGAGGCCTGCCCAAACAGGCGGGAGGCCTTCCCCCACAGATCCCTCATGCAGCCGGCCCGTCTCTCCTTCCAGGGGGATAGAGATCCAGGACGGCAGCCCCGGATACCAGCGCTTCGGTGAGGCTCCTGAGCCAGGGCAGGAAGCCCAGCCGGCCCCCCAACACGACTGAAGCCGTTGAGCCTCCTGGGCACCCAGGATCCGCCTTCTCCGGGCGGGGACCGATCGATCGCGACCGCCTGGAACCACGACGGATCAGGGGTTCAGGCCGTGGGACTGTGTGAACGCCCAGGGGGGCTTTCCTGGGTCTAAACCGGGGGGTCCTCAGCTTTGGGCCCTTGAAGGCTTGTGGAGTCCAACTCCCAGAATTCCCCAGCCAACGGTGTCACCCTGGGAGTTGAAGTCCACTAGTTTTAAAGGCCGGAGACCCCTGGTCTAAACTGA